AAAAAAAACGTTTAGGTCACTTCTGTACAAGTATATAATAACCAGTCGAGTTTACTATTTACTACTATATTTGTGAGATAAATTTATAGAAAGCCGCTGTGGTTTAGAGGTTTAGAAGTAAAGCAGTGCTTGTGATGGTTGCGGGTTCGATTTCTCGCACGATACAATGACAAACATATTAATGAGTATGATTGTATGTTTCTGGGCGTTTCCTATGTTATATGTATATTTTAAAAAATGTATTCAAATATTTATATATTAATATGTAACATGTACATGTATAATATATAACATAAGATCTGCTTAGTTTAAAACTAGGTGATAAAATTAGCACCGTAAGATATTTTCTTCCTCTCAAGCATAGGGCAAACATTGTGTGCATTTAAAAATAAAAAGAATGAACAATATACAAAATGTAACTATGAATCACATTAAATATACATAAATATTAAACGTATAATTATACATATTATCTGTGATTATACTATACATCGGACAGAAATTTGGCATGAAGGTAGATGTTATGACGTAGGCATCCGCTAAGAAAACGTTCAAAACCCTTCCTTAGCGATTTTTGGTTTGGATTTTGATTAATTCTACCCCCAAGAGGATGAAAGTTTGTATGAAACTTTGTCAATTTTAAACCGATTGGGCTGAGACTTTGCATGCATTAAGCTACTATGACGTAGGCATCCCCTAAGAAACGATTTTGATAAATTCCACGCCTAAGGGTATAAATTAACGCGAGCGAAGCCGCGGGCAAAAGCTAGTTTTTAAATATACTTATACCTTTATATACTATTAAATATATGTAGGAATAATACTATTTAACTTGAAATTAAAAATACACTGGTTGTGGGAAAGATATTGGCTTATTTAGATTTAAATTCTTGATTTTTATGTCATGAGGTTCATGTGTAGAGGCAACGTTGTTTCCATCAAGTGGTTAATCAGTTTAAAATAGAATAGAATATAATATAAAATCATTTATTCAAATAAACTTAATTTAATCACTTTTGTATAGTCATAACAATTTTTTTAATCTACCGCTCGTTCGGCTAGCTGTCCCATCACAAGAAGAACGAGCAAGATACATGTGGTGCTCTTTTAAATCCTTGTAAGTTCACATTTTACAAGTCGAAACATGTAAATGCAAATCACCAACCAGCACTAATTTATCAGGGTCAAATATTAATATACAATAAGGTTAAATCAGTCGTAGTATGAGCAGACCAGTCCCTACAAGCAGCACTCGTTCACGAGTATGACATACAACCAAACCGCTTGATACCATTTATATAATGAAAGAGACTTTCGTTCGTGGAAAGGCAAAAAAAATCATGCAGGAAAGAAATACAGTAGTCATAAGAAATACCAATAACTAATTTGCGTTAAGGAAAAATATATGCCTATTTTATTGAAATTACTTTCAATGACTGTATCGTCATATTCTGATGCAATTGTGTTCATTCAATACGTAAGTTAAATATTGACTGATTGACGCATCGTTTCAGAGTAATTAAATTGATGCAATATTCATAGTCGGGATGAGAATGAGCCTCGTGGACTTACTACGCTAACTTAAGGTGGAAAGAACGAGGCTCATTCTCGCTAACTTAAGGTGGAAAGGAATTGTTAGTAATATCAGTACATATCTACTGAGTACCATCACACTGCGATCGCCAAGCGTGGCGATTATGGCAAAATCCCCCTATATGGATTTACTGAATATGTACACAAAGTTTCATAAAAATCGGTCAAGCCGTTTCGGAGGAGTATAATAATAATAATAATAATCTCAGGACAATTCACACAGCGCCATCTAGACCCAAGTCAAGCTAGCTAAAGCTTGTGTTATGGGTACTAGATAACTGATACAAATACCTAGATATATTTTTTTTTGTAAATACATACATATTATACATAGAAAACACCCAGACCGACACAAACAATCGTACTTATGAATACAAATGTTTGTGCCGTGCGAGGAATCGAACCCGCGACCATCGGTCGTAAAGCGGTGTGCTAGACTACTAGACCACCGAGGTCGTCAAAGTATGGTAAGAAACATTGTGAAAACTATTACATAGTATAAAATAAAGTTGCTGTCGCTGTCTGTCCCTATGTATGCTTAAATCTTTAAAACTACGCAATGGATTTTGAAGCGGTTTTAATAGATAGAGTGATTCAAGAGGAAGGTTTATATGTATAATACATGTACACCCGTGCGAAGCCGGGGTGGGTAGCTAGTGGACTAATAAAGGTGCTGCTAAAAATGTGTATAATATGTCAGGTTGACCAGTATCTGGTTACCCCTGGAAACCATCATTTTTTTTACAATTCACACAGCATCATCTTGTCCCAAGCTAAGCAGAGCTGGTGTTATGGATACTAAAACGACTGATATAAATATTTTGAAACTTTTTTTTATAAATATGTATATAATATATATAGATATAGAATCAGGTATAAACAATCATGAATATAAATGCTTGCGTGGAATCGAACCGGCGACCTTTGGAAGTAAAGCGGTGTGCTAAACCGCTAGATCATGGAGGCCGTCAAAAATTTGTTAGTGATACAAAAGTCTGTGAACATCCTTATAGTTTCGATTAACCCTATAACAAATTTCAATGGTATGTAACGAACTAGCGATTAAATAGTTTAGAAGTAAATACGGAACAAATAAATAAATATACTTTCGAATATATTACAAACTTCGACTCAGAAGTACATTACAATGGAAATATTTTAGTTTGAAATGATCTCAATAATAATGGCATAATTACTGCGGATACATATAATTGTAATGGACTACATAATGTAAATTATAGGTTAGATCCAATAGCAAGACCGCGTGGCAACGAATGCATTAACTGCACACAAATTACACGCTCCCAACAAAAAAACATAAACGTCGAATGACGTCATATGGCGTGATCTTGGATCTGCTCTGATGCACCACTCGCCCTTCACCAAGAAACCAACGAGATTACCAAACCGTTGACGTACATTGACGCTTTGTTATTTGCTGTACACGTAGAAGTGGAACCCTTGGCAGCGATTGATGTAGAACTTGCTCAAATAATGAATATGCAAGTTTTGTAGCAGAATTCAATAATACTGATGCAGAAACAGGTTTAGCTACCATTGACTATTAAAAAGACAAAGCTATGGAAGAGCCCGGCGTACAACTGGTAATGGAATAGTAACTGGTTTTAAGTCATAGTGTAGAAATATCGTATAATTACTTAATGAGAGCCGACGAGTCATCGTGCATCGGAGCACGTATACTGGTTCTAGAGTCTAGATTGATCGACGCTAGTGGAGGAAAATTTTATTAAAGAAAACATGCGTGTGCGGTTTCTGCCAACGCCTCGTGTCTCCATGCGCTTTTTTCCTTCTCTCCGTAATTACAGTCTGTCTTATAATTATTCTCTTCAGTTTCATTAGAGATCCGTGATTCGAAAAGTAGATAGTCATTATAGGAACATGTTAGCTGTCAGTCATTGTCGCGTACAAGCAGCAACAAAACGCAACGTAACGAACAGACTTTAAAAATCTAGTCGATCGATCTAACGTAGTTTTGTTCACTCCAAAAAAAAATTTAATTAATAGTATATTTACCGTTAAATTTAAAATAGTAAGCAAATTCTACCATTTTCAACAACCCTGTAATCTGCTGAAGCCATCAAACGTACCATCTATCATTCGAGCCGCAACATCATCTACCATCTGAGCATTCGAACCGCATCATCACGTACTAGTATCGCATCGTAACATAACTCGAGAACATCGAATTTTAAGATTTATATCACTTTCTTCTATAAGCAAATTTTCAAATAAACTCATTTAACAGTACAAGAAACTTGTGTGTTGCTCTTTTTAATATGTTTTTTTTTTATATAAATAATTACAGTATAACAAGTAAGAGGCATGCGAAATCTAGAAGTTCAGTAATTTAGTCAACAAAATATGTTTACATCAGTAATTTAGTCAACAAAATATGTTTACATCCTTCGGAGACTGTCACACAAGGTTAAGATAATAAAAAGGATGAAAACTTAACGCATTTCCGATTCCGGTTCATATAATTTGACATAAAGGAAGGCCACAGATAACAAGTGAAAGGAAAACCGTATTATTGTATTAAACATTATAATTGACGGTTATTAACCAGACCTTCAGATTAACTAATAGTTTTACGATTGGTGTATTTGTTCGTTATGATGTCACATCATTTAGAATTAGGTACAACCTAAATTTCATCACCATGAAAATCTATAGAAAAGTAAAAGTTTAGTGTACAGAATTAACACTATCTCAGCAAGTAATTCGGAACAATTTAAATATTATATATAATTTTAAAAAAATATATAATATTTTCCCCCTATTTTAGCACTATGGACTATATTTGGACGACTCATATGTTTTATGTAATATGTATAACAATATTATCGAATAGTCTATTATAATAGATAATAGAAATCTTTATTGTCCTCAGAAAATATAAGTTAAATTCAAATTCAAATTCAAAACAAAATTTACCCATGTAGGTCTATTACTGACTCTTATGATATCAAATCTACCGTCAGTTCGGAATCATTTCGAGATGAGAAGAACTGACAAGAAACTCAACTAGTAATCTTTTCAAATAAATTTTGTATATGTTTAAATAAGTATAAAAGAACATTATGTATAGATCTGCTAGGCCAAAACCTGTTATATCGTCAAAAGCAATTACTTCGAAACGATCTATTTTAAATCATTTAAAACCACATAAAACTTGGTTCTTTTTGTCTTTTAGATTTTCTAACTATAGGGCTAAACTTACCATATCGCGTAAAGCAATCTCTTTTAAAACTACGACATTTTGTGTTGACTTTCTGTCTTTTAGATTATCTACCTATAACGCTAAACCTATAAAATTTACATTAATAACTTGAATGTATGATAAATATAATATTTAAAATGAAAACAATGAGTGATATAATATGTATTTATTTGTCATTATCATCTGTGTCACCTAGAATTAAAGGATTCTCGTCTATTCCAGTTATAACTACTTCGTACTGGTTCGTACTGAATTTTTTCATTTCTTGTTCAAACAGTATGTTGTTAATAGCCTGTTTTATCATTGACTGAGTTCTGTCATCGTGTTTCCTTAGAGAATCAGCAATATATTCACCGAAACTGTCGCATTCATCTTTCTTTCTTGATAGACCAGTTTTTTTTATTAATCTCAATGTTTCTAATATTTTACTGTCCATTCTATTACTGGTATTAGGAACTTCTCTAACTGGCCTTCGTTTTAGTACTTTAGTAGAACGTGACATGGAGTTTGAATTTGAGTATTTGTATGTTTTTGGTTTGTACGCTTGTATGACTGGTTCCTCTTTTATTGTGATCTCTTCGTGAATGTCGTCTATTTCATGATCATTGTCATTTGATGTTTCGTCATTCATATCCTCTAGTTTATTGGACTCTTTTGAATCCTGAAAAAAAAGAGGGATATTATTAATATGTACAATAAAATTCTTCTAGCAATGGCATGACAATCATTAATGGCAATACGCATTTGTTAAAGTCGTTTATTTTCTTGAGCAGAATAGTAACTATTTTGTTTAAAAAATAAATTAAGAAAGTGTTTATTGCTACATAAATATTTATACACAGACTGATTAAACAAACTTCACTCTAATAATGAACTTCGTTGTAGAAACCTCAAATTTTTCATTTCATAGCAGCTTCCAAAAAAGGGGATGATATATATATTTGTCGTTTATTTGGATTTTTATTTACAAATCGAGCGGAACGATAGGATCTAACTGTCTAAATTGCTTTCTCAGGCATGCGTGAAATCTTTCACAAAATTGAAGTTAAACATGCTCGAAGATTATCTAAAAATAAATATTAGACGGTTATGAAATTGATACGCAACATGTTTAGAGATTACCTAATCTGCCTTTAAGTACTAGAGATTATTAATATCGGTCGTTTAAACTATTGGAGTAAATATAGCCATAACATACTAAATAATAAAATACATGCGATAGGTTTTTTAGAGGATTTGGTCATTAGGCACGACGATTTGGTCATTAGGTCATTTATCATTAGACACGACGAATTAATTAACAACATTATTGAAGGAAAAATAGATGGAAAGAGAGGAAGGGGAAGACCGAGACACAGCTATATCAAGCAAGTTAAAGAAAAAGTTGGAGTCGTGTCATATCAACAGCTAAAGGGACTGATAGAAGATCGTAGAAGGTGGCGGGAGCTCCACCGACAAGAGCACAGCTCTTAAATTATGAATGAATGGTCATTAGGAAGGCCTAGTGATATCGAAACTTTGTTGAAATAGAACACCACTATGGACGTTTGTGAACCTCGAGGTACCATTTTGTGTAGGGATAATATTAGGCATATTATCCCTACACAGAATGGTACCTCGAGGGTCACAAACGTCCATAGCGTACCCCGAAATACAGGGTACAAGTATGAGGTAGAATTAGAAATAATGATACAAGTTCTTCATCTAGTAAAATATATCAATATTTATAATATAGCTGACCCTGCAAACATTGTTTTGCCATATAAATTAATATCCCTATTAAAAAATAGGGGTTGATGGTAGAAGGCTAAGAATTTAGGGGTGTATGTATTAAATAAAAAAAAAAATAGATAGTAGCCGATTCACAGACCTGACTGAATATGGATATAAAATTTAATAAAAATTGGTCAAACCGTTTCTAAGGAGTATGGTAACTAACATTATAACACGAGAATTTTATAAAGGATGAAAATACTTAACGAATGAAGCTCTTCTGTTACAGTCAGTTGATAACCAATCTACATTAGCCCTAGGTATTATTACAGCTGACAATATAGAATGGAAATATACAAATGATGGCTCGAGAAATTACAGGCCCGACAAACAAATTATAGGTCACTTTGTGTAACAAGTTTTTTGTGTTATACATTCGTGCAAACATAGTTAGTAATGTCATAAAAACAAGTTTATTTCATCCAACATAGGTTGGAGTCGTGTCAAGGAGTGTCGTATTAAGGATTAAAGAGCATGATGGAAGATCGTGGAAACTGCCAAGAGCTCCACCGACTAGAACGTCGTTCTTACATCATGAATTAATAGGTTTTGTATAAAGTAGTCTTGCGAGATCTTACCCTTTTTCAAGTAGCTTAATTTATACTATCGATACATGTAAATAAAATTGCAGTGTCTGTTTGTGATATTGAAATAACCGTTTTTTATTTCATGCATATGAATATAAATACGTTGCATACACCAAAATAACATTTTTTACAATTTTTGTCTCATTGTCCGTTTGTTCCGGCTAATCTCTGAAATGGCTTGACCGATTTAGACTGGACTTTCATTCCCATGTAATAAGGAGTAACTTAGGCTACTATTTAGAAAAAAGCTTTTAATTTAGAAAAATAAAGTTGAATTTCACGCGGACGAAGTCGCAGGTACAGCTAATAATAATAATGTAATAATAATATCAGGACAATTCACACAGCGCCATCTAGTCCCAAGTTAAGCTAGCTAAAGCTTGTGTTACCTACATATACTAGATAACTAATACAAGTACATAGATATTTTTTTCGTAAATACATATATATTATACATAGAAAACATCCAGACCGATACAAACAAACATACTCATGAATACAAATGTTTGTGCCGTGCGAGGAATCGAACCCGCGACCATCGGACGTAAAGCGGTGTGCTAGACCGCTAGACCGAGGTCGTCAAACAGCTGTTATAATATGGTAGTGGAATTACTAGATTCGGAGGTATGAGATTTTAGACCTCAGTATCTATAACAAATTATGATGCAATATTCCTGGGACGAGGACTGCCACAGGCAAAGCAAGAGGTGTCAGCAATTCTACAATTTAGTTATTTTACTTTATTTATACTCTTTATTGCACCAATTACAGAACAAAAACAATTAAAATAGAAAATATAAATTGTCTTATCGCTAATCTAAGAGGCAATCTCTTCCAGACTACCTTTAGTTGAATAGAGAAATAAAAAACTACTATTGTAATTAAATTAAATAAAATTACAATGTAAAAATTTGACGTTCATAAGCGGCTAAAATGTGCTACATGAATAAATGATTTTAGAATTTGAATTTGACTTAAAGAACTATAAAATTTGATTCATTGTTACTAGAAAATGATTAATGAACTATTACTACAATGATTTCTGCTAAAATACAATTTGTAGACAATACATTTAGGTATGAAACTTGAGTGATTTAAACCGATCAAGGTCAGCGCTTATCGACAATTGTATTTGATATGTTATATTGCGGAAATGGCATATTTATTTCATTTAGTACCTACTCGTAGGTGTTGTTTACTGTTTGTGACCTAATTCTGTAGTAACGAATAGGTACTTTGTAACTACGTACATTAGTAAATGTTTTTTTAATTGTATTAGACTAGTAAACAAGTTTACGTCTACACTTAGTTCCTATTATTTTGTTTTTGTAGGTACTAAACACATTTTTAACGTCAGAATCAAAACAACAGTTTTTACAATTTTTGTCTATCTGTCTGTTTGTTTCGACTAATCTCTGAAGTGGTTGAACCGATTTTGACGTGACTTTTGTTGGCAGGTAGCTGATGTAATAAGGAGTAACTTAGGCTACTTTTATTTTAGAAAAGTCAGTGCTTATCGACATCTGTACGTTAGTTATTTTACTTATTACATCAGATACCTGCCAAAAAAAGTCCCGTCAAAACCGTCCAGCCATTTCAGAGATTAGTCGTAACAAACAGATAGACAGACAAAAATTGTACCAAAATAAGATATTTTGGTATATGTACGGTATTTATATTCATATGCTTGTAGTAAAAAACGGTTATTTCAATATTACAAACAGACATTCCAATTTTATTTATATGTATAGATGCATAGATTACACGCGAAAATGTAACGTATGCCAATTTTTTTTTAATGGATGTTAATGTTACAGTGATCTTGCCAGAGCTTACGGTATACGCTGTCGGGGCACCAGTGGGGGATGATAGGATGAACAGGAGATCAAGTTAGGCTCACCATGGGAAATTTACCATCATTTTAAAATTTAACAGCATATTTGACGGGAAAATCAACGTGATGCGATACATAGCTAGCGATAAGGTCTACAGTCCCCATTGCTAATAATCATGTCTTTCTCCCCCCCCCCCCACCCTTCACGCCCCCACGCGCGTCTGTCTTATGGAAATTGTCAAAAATGGATTTACCGCAAACAATAATGTTACTCAATTTTATGGACCTGTGTGTTTGTTTTATTATTGGTAGGTCACCATATGGTCTTATTTTTTTTAAGATTAGGTCCATAAAATGATTAGATGAAAAAGATGAAATTTTTTTCACATCCCTATTTCTTTGTACGAGGTATTAAAATTGGCAACCCTGGTAACGAGCGCCCTTAATTACCAAGATACCGGTACATATAGAATCGAACTTTATATAAATAGTACCTGACCCCCAAACGTTGTTTTGCCATATAAATTAAAATCGCTATTAAAAAAATTGGGATTGATGGTAGAAGGGTGAAATGTGGTTGTAAGTATTTTTCAATGTCACATAATAAAAAAAAAATAGTCCAAAAAATAAAAAAAATGTTAGGAGTGGACAACCCTTATCACTTAGGGGTATGAAAAACAGATAGTAGCCAATTCTCAGACCTACTGTATATGCATATAAAATTTCATAAAAATCGGTCAAGCCGTTTCGGGGAGTATGGTAACTAACATTGTGACACGAGAATTTTATATATATGATGAAGTAGAAGAATAAAAACATTTATTGATAATCATTATTGATATACATACATACACACAATTAACATACATATCACATGTATATATATATGTGTATATGACTATTACCATAGTAACGACTTCACTGTTGGCAGCGTTGTCCAAATGTGTCGGCAAAAACTTCAAATGTTTGTAAAGAAACCAGAGCGAACGGCCGCCGCATCGAACCTTGGACTTTTCGCGCCTATGCGAAGCGAATATAGAGTTCAATTTCTTTCGCAGATCGGGTATATCACAGTTAAATGTATTCGCTAGATCCGACCACGCTTCGTACTTCGCTGTGAACGTGCGGTAGCCTTTATGCGTGTTGTCCCACAACTCAGGTTTCTTACGGTATTCCTCCATTAATTTTATTACTAAGCTATTTGTCCATTCGGTGTCCATTTTGACTTCCGCTCCAATAAGCACGTCCTTAAACAAATAACACAGGTATCTGTTCACCTAAAGATTCAACAGTTTCGAATTATCATTTAAAATTTTGAAAATCGAACACGTTCCATTCATGTAGATTCGAATTATTAAAATTTTTGAAAATAGAATACGATACGTTCCATTCAAAATTGGGCTGCGTGCACAGCGATGTGTTCAAACAGACGTTCTATTTTTGAATTCGAACAGAGAACGCGAATTCGCGACGCGGCGTGCACGTATTCGACGGAGAGCGCGAACAGAGCGACTGGCGAATGAGGGGAACGAGCGGGGCGGGGCGGGGGGTCGCGGCCGGTGTTCGGCTGTGGTCGCCATGTCACGTAGAATGTTCGGCTCGCGCTCGCGTTGTTTTATCAGCGAACACTTGTTCATTTTGATTTCGTTTCGTTTCGATTTCATGACCTAGTAGGTCTCTGCAACTTAGGTCACCAAAAAACTTTACATATAAATAAAATTGGAGTATCTGTTTGTAATGTTGAAGTAACCGTTTTTTACTACATACATATGTATATAAATACGATACTTACACCAAAATAGCATTTTTACCATTTTTGTCTGTTTGTTCCGGCTAATCTTTGAAATGGCTGGACCGATTTTGACGGAACTCTTATTGGCTTTTATCTCAAACTTACTAAATATGCATATAAAATTTCATAAAAATCGGTCAAGCCGTTTCGAAGGAGTATTGTAACTAACATTGTGAAAATCATTACATAGTATAAAACAAAGTCGCTGTCGCTGTCTGTCCCTATGTATGCTTAAATCTTTATAACTACGCAACGGATTTTGAAGCGGTTTTTTTTTATAGACAGAATGATTCAAGAGGAAGGTTTATGTATATAATACATGTACGTTACACCCATACGAAGCCGGGCGAGTAGCTAGTATGTTAATAAAATCTTTTCACATTTCTGCCCCGTGTAGAAACTTATTTAGTCCCGGATTTAATGTAGTAATAATTTTATATTATAAATTCTCACCCTCGTAGCGAAATTGTTAAATATCCTATCTTAGTAACAAAACAATTTAAAACAGAAACTCAAAAAATACTTTCTTACCTACCTCTTAACAGGTCTTGTATATCTTGACCCGTATTTTCATACAGACTTCTCTATAAATAGATTTCAATGTATTCTGGTAGTTCGTTGAGGGGATACGTCCAATATAAGTAGATACGTGTGTTCTCGAGAAAGAGTATTATTTGTACGGATAAGGAGGGGATCCTGGGATCTTGGTAAATTGGTGAGTCCTCCCATTGAATGGAGAGCTTTGTGAATGACTATTAGGGGTTGTGTACCACCCTTCATCCCCCCGGAGCAGTTCGAAGGGCAGGGTGTGGGGTGTTCGTGATTAAATTAATGAAATTCTATTTTCACTGAGGACTTTGTTGATTTTGTTTATGGTTAAAGTTTAAAACTCGATTGTTAGTTAGTGCCGTTAAATTTTTAATCTGTTGAATGTAGTTTATGTTATTAAAAACTATTTTGTGTTAACTTTAAGTTTAATAACTGTATTTTATCGCCCCGGCTTCGCCCGGGTGTACATGTATTATACATATAAAACTTCCTCTAGAATCACTCTATCTATCTATTAAAAAAAATCGCTTCAAAGTCCGTTGCGCAGTTTTGAAGATTTAAGCATACATAGGGACGGACAGACAGCGACAGCGACTTTGTTTTATACTATGTAATGATTCTCTAATATGATAGTGTATGAACGATATTTTACAGTTAATAATGTATTTTAATAATTATATGACGACCTCGGTGGTTTAGCGGTTTAACACACCGCTTTACTTGCGATGGTCGCGGGTTCGATTCCTCGCACGGTGCCAACATTTCTATTCATGAATATGATTGTTTGTATCGGTCTTGGTGTTTTCTATGTATAATATGTATGTATTCACAAACAAAAATATAAGTATTGATATCAGTTGTCTAGTATCCATTACACAAGCTCTGCTTACCGTGGGGTTAGATAGCGCTGTGTTAATTGTCCAGGTTTATTTATTATTTATATATTACTAGCTGTACTCGCGACGTCGTCCGCGTGGAATTTAACTATATTTTTCTAAAATAAAAGTAGCCTAAGTTACTCCTTACTACATCAGCTACCCGCCAAAAAAAGTCCCGTCAAAATCGGTCCAGCCATTTCAGAGATTAGCCGGAAAAAACAGACAGACAGACAAAAATTGTAAAACATGTTATTTCAGTGTATGTATCATATTTATATTCATATGCATGTAGTAAAATACGGTTATTTCAATATTACGAACAGACGCTCCAATTTTATTTATATGTATATTAAAGATATAAAAAATAACATATTTTAATTAAAACATATCTAAAGTCGAAATAAACAACACGTGCATAAAACTGCATATCCCTGAATTTATTTATTTTCGCTCCACACCCGACTATGGTTAGATAGGTTCGGTTTATGCAACTGGAAACAATAACTTTCCTCTGGATTTCCGTGCCATTGTCCAAAAGTGTCATAACTTAAAAACAATATGGGGCTGAGTCGGAGGGAAAGAAAGAAGATTATGCCAAATACGCACTTTGCAATAGTGTTGCGACGTGATGCGCATGCCTACGATAAAATTGTCGATAGATTTAAATATTGACTAATTTAATCTTATTGTGTTTTTATATTTGAGCCTAAATCAGCGCTGGTTGGTAGTTTGTATTCACACGTCTCGACTTTTTCTTTTTTTTTATTTATTTTTATAACACAGGGGACAAACGAGCATGCGGCTCACCTGATGGTAAATGATTACCGCAGCCCATGAGCACCCAGCAACACCAGGTGAATTGCAAGTACGTTGTCGGCCTTTTAAAAAGGAATAAGCTCTTTTCTTGAAGGTTTCAATATCGTATCGGTTCGGAAATACCATTGCTGGAAGGTGATTCCACAATGTGGTTGTGTGTGGCAAAAAGTAAAATGCGAACTTACTTGTTTAAAAGAGCAACACACAAGTTTCTTGCTTATTCTTCTTGTGATGAGACAGCTTTCCGAATAAGCGGTAGATTTAAAAACAAATTGTTGACTATTCAAAAGTGCTTAAGTTAAGTTTATTTGAATAAATGATTTTCTATGCTGTTCTATTCTAAAAAATAGTCATATTGTAATTCTGCTTATTAATATGCAGAATTAGAAAAGAAGAATATTAGAATGCAGATTAGTGTATACAAATAAGACGAATGAGGTCTAGTTAGTTAGTTAGTTAAGGTCTTAGTAGTCAAAATCCTTTGTCAGGGTCTAGACTATCTGTGTACCAAATTTAGAATAGAATAGAATAGAATAGAATATTTATTACTATCACACATCACAACACAACAATGACGATGCTCACAGCAGCATATAAATTATTATAACATATAAATAGAAAGAATAAATACAATACAAATCATAAAGAGAAAAAAAAATTACATATAAAAAAAAATCATTTAAATAGCTTCTGTAGTTTCGGCGTGAAAGCGAGACAGACAGACAGAGTTACATTCGCATTTATAATATTAACGATTTTTTTTTTATTTGGTCTTCTTCTTTATCGATTCAGAGATGGGAACAAACAGACAGATAGACAAAAATTGTAAAAATTGTTAAGACTTTGTTTTATACTATGTAATGAAGAATAATATAAAAATTTAAAATGATGGATTTCTCATATTAAAACTATAAAGGAGTACTTTTATGTTTATTGCTCACTTTTATTACAGATTACAGAACAAAATATATTATTACAATTAGATAATTATTTTTTTATTTTTTTATTGCATTGTTTGGGCTATTGTCAGATATTTGTAGCACCTGTAGCACTGCGACCTACATAGATCTATTTCAAAGATCGCTACCTAGACCCGTCAGGGACAAGAATTGAAGGATATTCTTAGGAGCGATGGTTTTTATCTCCTCGGGATAGAGTGTAAACTTTCCAAAGGAGATATTTCGTTTATGCATGAGTGGGCTACAACCACATAGGATGTGTAGTGGCGTTTCCTCTTCAGTTTGGCCGAATCTGCAGATTTTTGTCGTGCATAGGCCTAGTTTAGTCATATGCTTGTTTAGTTTGCAGTGTCCTGATAAATATATAATTATCAGGAATAGATAAATGACTTATTTTTATCTGCTACCGACTAGAGAAACAAACAAACAATAAAAAGAAAGTGCTTAATACTTCTTATCTGATATTTATATCATATCCAATATCAGATGACACACATTCAAAAGATTTTATGTTTTTAATGTCAATAATATGAATTTCCACCTACATACCAACCTAGCTACCTTTGTTTTAGGCATTGTTTTAAGAAAACCTATATATTGCGTATATAAATATCTAAATCGATATATCGAAAGGGTTATTTACCCAAATACGGCGTCAGTAAAAAAAAATAAATTCAAAATAGAATAGAATAGAAAATAAAATCATTTATTCAAATAAACTTACATTGAAACACTTTTGAATAGTCATCACATTGATAGATGATCAAAATCACGAACAAATATCTTTATAGATGATCATTGGTCATTGTGGTCATAGATCATATGGTATAAATCGCAAACGAGTGCATAATTTGTGGTAATATTTTCCTATTTTTATGGAATCTTTATGCAAAATCTTTTCATTAGTTTAATTTTCAAAATAATTAATTATTATGTAAATATACAAATATATCTATCGATCTACTGTAGGAAGAGTCGTGACTCATTAAGAGAGAAATTCAAAGAGGCAAATATTCTCACCGTTGCTTCTCAATTTACATATTCAAATATCCTATATGTACATAAAAATCTTGACTTATTTCCAAAAAACAGCAATATTCATAATATTAATACTAGATTTAAAGACAAACTTGCTGTCCCCAAGTATCGTTTAGAAAAAGTCAATAGGTCTTTTATGGGAATAGGTATAAAAATTTATAATAAGATACCAAAGGATATATTGGAATTACCCTTAAATAAATTCAAAACATCTGTTAAATCATATTTACTGAGCAAAGCCTATTAC